TCTTCCCACGATCTCCTGATATTACACCCTTAAACTTCTTCTTGTGGGGGATATATCAATGTTAAGTTAGGTTAGCTTCAAGGACAAACGAAGGTATCAGTAGAGTGACAGAGGATATGTTGGCTAACACATGGACTTAAGTGGAGTACCAGTTGGATATGCTACAGATCACCAATGGTGCACATGTTGAGGTACACTAAACAATACACAAAACTTGATTTATTGCAAAAAAAAAAAAAAAAAAACAATTATTCCATCTCTTGATTTTGTTACAGTAAAATTTATAAACTGGAACATGACTTTTGTGGAAAGCCTGAAGGTCTTAAAAAACAGCGTGGAGTTTCAGTACTGCAAAGTGAGCATAATATTTTTTGTAATCTGTGTATATCTAAATGTATAAAGAAGATATCTACAGCATGCCTCTATGGATTAACAAAAAATCAAACATCATGGCAAGTGAACTTAAACATGTACACAAATATTCTGGTGTTGAGTATATCATCTCAAAACACACAGCCGTAACACAAACATCTTTACACACATACACTCACAGGTTCTGAAAACAATATCAAGACACTTTTGAAGCTCTAATATGACTCTTCAGTGCCAACAGAAGTTTTATGACTACAGAATTATAAGAAATAAAAAAATTCAGTGTGTACAGGTCCATACATCTGTCTTTCAGTAAACACACACACATGATTTCTGCTTTGTTCCAGCCATTTTCTAACCACTTTGACTCTTCTACTACTATTATTACTTGACATACTGTCACTCATTTGTCTCTCGTTGCCATGGTAACTGTCCCGTTTAAAATTTACTGTATACCTCCAAGACTACACAGTATATAACATTATCCCTCTCTTAATATTCATCCAAACAATCTCAATTTCTTCATTTCTATCATATTCTCTTTATGTTACTTTCTTCAATATTCTAAGGTCAATTTTTCTTGTACAATTATCAAGTTCTTAAATATTCTTTTGCCTCTTTTAACTCATCTCTCCGTACTACTTCCCTCACTCAAACTCTTCCCTCACCTTCCTTAAACTTGGTCGTTAGCTGTTCCACGTGCACCTTGTTGCCTGGCACACGGTATATCCCCTCAGAGTCAAGCCCTTCCACCTCAATAAAGAAGACACACTTCTCTAAGAACAGTGGCACAGATCGCTCAGGACTCTGGGCAAAATCATCCAAGGTTGGCTGGGGAGGTCCTTTGGTTGAGCCCTTGGTTGAACTTTTGGCTGCTTTCTTCTTTTCCCGTTCCTGTTTCAAATACATTGACATGTCTGTGATTTGTCTATGACTCAAATGTCATGAAAGGAAGACAAGGAGTGCTTAAAGTATTAGCCTTTGTTGCATGCATGCAATTCCATACCAAACTCAACTCTAAATTGTGACTACCTTTGAGTTTGACCAAAGTGAACAGATTGGGGGGGGGGGGGTTATTGTAGAAATGCCTAAAACTAGAATAGGAGACCAATGAAATCTAGTTTTGGAGATGAAGGTCACTAATGTTTAACCTGACCTTGGAGATCTTTCAACTTTAAAACTGCATATTTTCTGTGACTGATATGAAACACTTCTTAGGCTTATTTAAGGGTCTTAAGTAAATCTACATGTTCTCAGTGTGGTCAGTTATCACTCCACGAAATTTGGCCTGACCTAGAAAATTATAAAACTCTATTTTTCTTAAGACTCTAGAATAATATATTGAACACACCTAACCATGTTCTATCAAGGTATCGGGAGGGATATTTGAAGAGTAAGGGATTATGAGCATTCCTGACTAAAAATCTAAGTCTGGTTGACTTTCACAAAACTATAACATTTCTTCCAATGGCAGTCAAGTCCTTGTAACCTTCTCAGCTGATCCTAGTCTTTGTGGAATCGTCTTAATCACAATCTTGACAAAAGCAAAACACTTTACAACCCAACATGCCCTTTACTCAGTTACATTATAACTCTTGTGAATAATGAAATAATTGTTCATTATAATCCTCCTTGAAAATTATTTTAACTGCATTAAAGTCGCCTCACAAAAAGTACATGTCACAGAAGGTTCGGGTCGGGACCTTAATGATAGGGAGGGACACCAATTACAAGTCTTTTGCCATACAAGAGCCAAATCGGTGTGAGTGATGTAAAACAAAATCCACTAAGTTAGTGTGCATCACTCACCCACAAGCACAGATGGGTTCCAGATGTGTGGAGCATTAATTTTTTATAACATAAGAGACCTTTCAATTAGTACATCACACTTCTGATGGCTTTAATTAGTGGACTATGATAAAGAACTAGACAATTCTGATGCACTGACAAACAATGTGAAAAGTTTTATAGAAAGAAAAAACTTCTCACCCGTGGATCTTACTCCCTCATGATTCTCCATCATCATTTGAAGTTATTTTCAATGCTTGTATATGTTAGCCATGATTACCTGATGGCATGGTGTCCCAGAAAATTTTGAAGCAAGTTTTATGGCTGGATGCCCTTTCTATCACCAACCCACTTTTAGAGAAGGAGCTGGGCATCAATTGTACGACTTCCAAGTGTTCTCCAAAAATACAAGCTGCCAAATAATGCCGAGTCACTAACTAAAAAACTTCAAACATTAGCATACAAAACTATGTGAATACTGTAGAAGCCCATCTGCCACTGGAAGGTATCCACCAAACTGAGGGCCCACTAATGGAATATTTTATTCAAGAATTATTATAAAGTGTAAACGTTTAAAAAATATGATGGAAAATTAATAACCTAACTGTTGACACGGTCAAAATAAAAAAATAAAATATAAATTATATTACCTTCTCTTTCTCTGCAGCTTTTTTCATCTTTTCTTCATCCTTGGCTCTCTTGCGTTCCTCTTCTCTCTGGCGGGCCTCCTCCCGTGACCGTAGCTTCTCTTGCTGCAGATTATGACAGAATTAGGAACATCAATATTTAACTCCCAACCTCCTCTTAACATAACAACAACACCTCTCAAACATCAGTGAGACATTACTACTGTACAGTGGTCCCTCGGTTAACAAGCGCCTCGGTTAACGAGATTTCGGTAAACGAGTTACCTTCCATAAGATTCTTAACTTCGGTTAACGAGCAATCCCTCGATTAACGAGTTTCTTACGAGCCGACCTGAACATGTTTTCGCTTGCATTTGGCGGTCCACCAGCTGTAGTATTAGTCCGCCAATACAGTAATCGGTTCTAGGGCTTAAATTCCTTACCATTTTAGCAAATATCAAGAAGTTTATACTATTCAATAATTTTAAAAGTTTAATAATAAATTTTTTACTCATTTTAACAATTATTGAACATAATTGAAGGTAATGAAACTAGTTTTATGAGCGCCATCCAGCCTCTCAACACACCATACAGGCGTCAGTCTTTGTGTCTTTTCAGTGGAGGTAACATCTTGCTTGAGACTCACTTCAACTAAACTCTTTTTTTTCTGTGTTTGCAAGCAAATTATTGATCATTTTGAAATTTATTTTACATATTGACAATATATAATGCAGTGCAGTGTTGATTTAAAGAAAATAATCTTGAGTTACACCAAGAGAACTAAAATTTTATGGGTGAAATGGCGCCATGGGGTGACTTCTCTTCCACCCCAATGCCTTCTCTTCTCCCTTCTCCTCCACCCCCATTCTAATTCCCATCATCATCATCATCCAGGAGCCTTCTACATACACACCTCAAAGTAAGTGTACTTTTCTACTCTTTTTGTTGAATTTAGGCAATTTTCGGTGAGCTGGAACCAATTACCCAAAAACCCATTGAAACAATGGTTTCGGTTAACGAGTTTTTCGATTAACGAGCAACCTGCAGGAACGGATTGTGCTCGTTAACCGAGGGACCACTGTACACCCACTACACCAAATTTAGGTTACTTTAACTTTGCTCTCCTTATGTAATTACATACAATATGTGGCTAGATTGAAAGCATACAATCTTAGTCATACAAATGTTAATAAAAAGGTTGAACTAACTGAGTCCAGCTACACCCAACAGTTCATACTATCTCTTTAGTAGTCTCCTTAAGCTTCATCAATTTACCTCCCTATATTCATTCAACTCAACTTTTCTTTCCCAATACTCTTCAAGATCTTTCAGGTTCCAGACAACCAATCTCTGTAAACACCATAAATTAAAACTTTTAACCTCATGTTACTGCCATATCCTGTCCATTATATGCACAAATTTCTGTGATAATCCATCTTATAAGACAAACAAGTATCTGTTCCATACACACAGATTCAGTCTACATTTTTACTCATTCTCTTGACTTTCTTTACTACAGCACAACTCATCTTCCCATTATGCCATCATCAGTGCCTCTGAAAACAAATTTGGGTACTTTCTCTTAAGCTTAATGAATTCTCTTTCAGCACTGTAACTGTTTATTAAAAATACATTAACAAACATATATAAATAAATTACACTAATGACTATTGACATATTCCATTCACATCTTCCTGTTCCAACAATGTTACAAAATCAAATATACAATTACAGAGGTAGAGATACAATTATACAACAGATACAGCAGCTCCCAAGAGGTGGGGGTAATATAAACGTACAGTATTTACAAATCATCTGTCATCAATACCTTGCGGCGAGCTGTCTTATCCGTGTCTTTACGAGCTGGTGCCCCGGGCGGGAGGATTGGGGATTGCTGGTCACGAGGAGATGATACCTCAAGGCTAGAGTCGTCCTCAGGAATCACCCTGTACATGTGATCTCCCTCAAGCTTGCCAGGGGCAACTGTGGGAATGGGGATATAAGCTAAAATATTAAATCCTGATGCTCAAGAAATCTTACCCAATGATCTCTCATGAACAATCACATGAGAGCCACTGTAAAGGAAAAAAAAAAACACTATTGATACTCATCTTCAAAGAAAACTAGGCATTTTGTCCATCACTAAATATACCTGTAAGAAAGGCTTGCAGCTGATCCTAATGTCTTAAATTCAAGAGCAGTTATGAATTTCCATGTAGCATGTTGGCAAAACATGCACAAAACTCTGGGGTGCACCTGCTCTTTAATGATGGGTCAAGTTGGTCACACTGTCTGGTAAAAAGATTAAACAGAAACACAACATAAACATGCAGGAAACACTCCATCAACTCAGCTTGTGGGAGTCTGAGCACAAGTTCTTCACTTAAACACTGTTATTATTATCATGGCCAACACAAGACACAGCCAAACCTATTTCATGGGGTTAAAAAAGCTGCAGAATCTAAGTGGTTGAGAGTGGTGGTAAATAGCTGCTAAACCTAAGTGGTGGAAGGTGGTGTTAGATAGCTGTTAAACCTAAGTGGTGAAGTTGGTATTAGATGGCCGTTAAACCTAAGTGGTGGAAGGAGGTGGTGCTTAGCTGCTAAACCTAAGTGGTGGAAGGTGGTGGTAAATAGCTGCTAAACCTAAGTGGTGAAGTTGGTATTAGATAGCTGCTAAACCTAAGTGGTGGAAGGTGGTGGTAAATAGCTGCTAAACCTAAGTGGTAAAGGGTGGTGTTAGACAGTTGGAAAAACTAAGTTGTAGTGAAAGCATTTCATAGCTGCAAAACCTAACTAGTGGTGTTAAACAGACTAAATATAAATGGAGGTGGTGGTGTTAGACAGCTACAAAACTAAAGTGGTGGTGGTGTTAGACAGCTACAGAATAAAAGTGGTGGTGGTGTTAGACAGTTACAAAACTAAAGTGGTGGTGGTGTTAGACAGTTACAAAACTAAAGTGGTGGTGGTGTTAGACAGTTACAAAACTAAAGTGGTGGTGGTGTTAGACAGCTACAGAACTTAACAGATGGTGCTGGGTAGCTACAAATCTTCAGGGGAAGTAGTCTGTGTCACCTCCAAAAAATACGGAGCACAATCATAAACAATCTCACATGGGGTAGGAATGGAGGACTAACCTGTCACTGACCCTGGAAGTAAAGGATCACTGACTGCTGGGAATGATTCTTGAACTAAGGTTGGGTACCCTAGTTCTAAACATGGTGCTATTACCCTGACCCCATGCTCTGCTACAAATACTGTACCACCAACCTTGAGAATAGCAGGTATCATAAATCTAAAGATACTTATTGAAAAAATAAAAACTATATAACCTGAACTAATAATGGCATTGTATACTAAACAAACATTCTAAACTTAAATAAACATATGTCAATAAAAGGCACAACAACATAACTTCTATGCTTAGGCTACCTGCAGTCTAGGATACAAAACTCTTCATGTCTTCAAGATATACTGTACCTATTCTTAATAAAAGTTGATCAAGTCAAGAAGAGAAACATTGACCACAGCTTCAGTATTACCATGCACATACTTGAGAATAAAATGTATCAAACTGTAGAAGCTACAAAAAATCTTTAAGTAACACAAGCACACAAATAAATACTTTATACTAATACAAAAATAAACAAAAACCAGGATTTTCTTTTTATGAAGTTAATACCCACATTGTATTGTTTACACACTACCAAACTCAACAAGTATTGTACTGGGTTAAGAACATTCGCTGCCAGTGTTACAATAAATACCAAGTACCACAGAAATCCATTCACAAGCAGAAGCTTCAACTTTTAATATATCTATTGTTAGATACTCGTAAGAAAGTAAAATATTTATAAATTTTGACTAAAGAGAAACAACACATTTATACACTGATCAGCCAGACCTTGTAATTCAAAAAACCACACAGACAACAGTTGCTGTCATTTCACTGCTTACATTCAAATACTTGAGTACAATACAGCATTCTACTCTGTCTTGCACTTTTCCACTGGAGTATTCACAGAATTAACTATTAACACCATTTACTATACATTAGCTCAGAAATTTGCACATTCTCTACTTTCTATAGTCATGCATATGGTCATTAAAGTATATATGCTAAAGCATATAATTATATACTTCCATTACCATATTCCACAACTTAAATGATAAAACAAAGTATGTACTGTACCTTCTTAATACTTTCATGACTAGTTGCTAAAAAATAACACTGAATGTGATCTTGAGCTTTGTTCTGGGTCGACTTGAGATCTGGGAGTACAGTACTGGAGGTTCTGTACACCTTACATGAGCTAAATTTCTATGTTGCATCTATCTTTTTTTTTGGGGGTCTGAATTAGGCTGGACTTTTACCCTAATTCAAACCGACTCTTTCTCATTAATAAGGTTGTCGGGACTGTTTTTGTTCTGAAACTATATCAAATTCTATACATACTGTATTATCCTGGGTATAGCACACATTCTAAGTCAGATCAACTGCTGATAAAACTGAGATCTATTCCAGGAAGTTTCCATTTATTTTTATTTTCACCCTTGCAAACCTTTTCCCAATGAGAGGTAGGGTGGCCAGAATTTTGAATATCTGCCATCTACCTTCATTAATCACCCTCCATTCTCTCACTGCTGTAAAAGATACGTTTTGCTATGGTGTTTCTCTTCTGCAACATGAACTCACAACACCCATCAGCATTACTTCCATCTCCATTTATTGAAAAAGAAATTGCTTACATATTCTAAAAGTTCTGAGTTGAAAAAGTTGGGTATTAAACTTCATCTTAATGGTTTTACAAAACTGATTCACAAGAAAACAAAAAAACAGTAAACTTTGTTACTGTACAGTATATAAAAACTGAGATATACTCAAATTATAGATTTTCACATACAAGAAATAATAAAAAAAATAAAAAAATGTGAGAGAGAGATCTGGACATCATAAAACTCAATCCGAGCCAAACCTTTTCAAAACTAAACCAAGAGTACAAATAAAAGCAAATTATAAAGAAAATACTAATAAATAAGAATATAAATGGTATAAATGAATAGGTAAATAAATACCTAAACCAATAAATAGACATCAGACTAATCATGAGTCATTAAACTTTTACAAGAGGAACCAACAAATCCTAAACACTGCCAAAGGAAGAACGTCCTCATGTCAAGGCTGCAAACCACAATACTACTCAGGGATGCACAAATACAACAGCTGCCAAAAACTGAACGACCAGATGGTAGTAGGGTGTCCAGAACCGCAGCGACAGAAAATGTAAGCAGGGGTACAATCATTGTTATAAAATATAGAGAGGGCGCATGAAGTGAAAAGAGAGAGAAGGTGGTGTGTACACAGAGAAAGAAAACAAAGGTAAAGGTGCACAGAGCAACAGAAAAAGATCAAAGAGGTGCATGGAGCAACGTATGTCACCAGGCATGTGCAGTCAGTTAACAGGCATGTGCAGTCAAGAAAACTGTTAGCAGGCATGTGCATAGCAATAAGAAAAAACCCCACATTAACCAGCAAGCAGATTTATATAAAACATTAAAGAGATGCCAAATATTACAAAATACAAATGATGAGGTGCATGTGGCCGTAAGGTACACAAGTAAATTCTGTAGAATATACAAACCATTAAGTTTCAGTACAAGTTTGGTCATTATCAGGATGTACTGCAGGATAATAAGGTAAACATATATGCATACAATCTACTATAAAATTTATGCACATATTTTACACAGTTAATGGAAAGACTTAGAGAGAGGGGGGGGAGGGGGATGAAGATTAGCAGTTTGTTTATAACTCAAATTTTGAGAAAAGCTCTACAGTACTCATAAGTTGAAGCAATCTGGGGGAGTGTGTGCTGACCACTTAGTACTATGATTAGCAACACCTCTATAGTATTCACAAAGATCAATAGCCATCACAGGGAAGAATAATGTATCTACTTACTCCACACTACCACAGTCAATACAATGAAGCCAAGGATGCAGATAGATGTTAATGACCAATTAAGCTTCCATATTATATGCTAAATTGGTGTCTTAAACTTCCATTGAAAAATAAATTGTAAAAAAAAAAAAATCTCCATAATGAGAATCAGTTTCATGCAACACCACCAAATGCTGATGTATATGACTCATCAGCTGTGAATGTCAATACTGTATCACTATAAAAAAACAAAACAAATGCATCTGACCCCTTGTAATAACAATATTGGGATCCCACAGTCTTAAATATTACAAACACAAACCATTTGATGGAATTAGTGTCGTAATTAAAACATGACTGAATAACTAGGGTCTGTGAACTCGGTATACCATAATAACAACGTAATGAGAAAGTAATGAATGAATATGACAAAAAAGATCGGTATCACACAAAGTTTTTCTGACAAAGTTAACTATTAAAACAATATTGACTGTACAGTAATTGTGAATGATCTAGTTTCAATTATTTGTCTTAAGAATAACTCAGAAAGTCAGGTGCCAAAGTACATTTAATCTCAGTTACCAACTGTGTGTTTATCATAAGATTTTGTTGATGATGTTTATTAAAGCACAAAGACTAACTATGCTCAAGATAGAAAATAATGTACTGTATCACTCTTTTATAACTAGAGTTTAATATCTGTTTTAAAATATAAATAACACGGATGTATTCAATATTTTATCATTATGATTTGCTTTCATTCTCATATCTCATTATGGAAGACTTCATCAAACACATTTGTAATATTTAGTGACAAAATTTAATCCTCAACTTCGAGAGTCGATTTCAAATACTGCACCATGTTTCTAGAACATATGACTGATACAATCTGAATAAAGAATAAGAATTGCAAATGACTTGCTCACACATATCATGTAAACATATACAACCATCCTTTCATCAGGGTTCAAACCTAGACTGCCAGGATGCAAACTCCAGGCCAAAACTACTGTACTTGGCTACCATCCACTAGAACTTCTACAAGTTATATCTAAACGGTTGCATCATCTATAACATGACACTCTAACCGATGTTTGTTGTTTAGTTGCAGTGAAAGATTATATGGATGAAGATAACTTTCAGCAACTGGTAACCATGTGGTTCGTGCCTGGAATTTGCATCTTGGTAGTTCTGGGGTTGAGCATCAATGAGAGTATGCTTCAATTGCAGTGAGATATATATATATATATATATATATATATATACTTAAATTACGTCTTTAAATTGGCACAATAAAACTGATGTTAATAATAATTTGTTCAAGATCCAATACCTGTATTAACATTACTACCTTCAAAACCCTTAAAAGGGTGCATGAATAAATTAAACACAAATATAGATACTGCACTTTAAATTAAACATGACTGTTTACTTAAATCATTTAAACTGCAAATGACTAAAATTTTCTCAAGACAAACTATAGAACCTTGATGTTAAGCATCCAAGACCCTGATGTTAGGAAGTGAGAGGCACTGCACACTATTAACACACACAGCAGACACATAACAGGGAGGAAGAACAGAAATCAGGCACTAATGACAACTTAAGTACCTGACTAATCATAAGTAACAAATATTTACTGCTACAGCCCACACAGAAGCACCCTGATATTTGAAAGCACATTAGCAAATTTACCACACAGCATAATACATAATATATATTTCAAGCCAATTCTAAATACTGTACATTTATAGGAACTACATGTTGCAGAGATTAGTACACAGCCTAGATATTGTGTTGGCTGATATAGTCTGAGTGGTATAAATTTTTCGGGGTCCAATGTTTCATGATTTAGAAGGTTAAATGTTAAAAATTTAATATTGATAGAGAAATTTATCATTTATCTCCCAATAGATGTTACATGTGACAAACACTACAGAATTAACTTTATGCCTTGGGAGACAAATATTACGAAGGATAAATTAATTATCCAAGTGTGTGTTTTATGTCATTTGACATTAGAATTAAAGGTTGTGGATTCATTGTGCCTCAGTCCAGTGTGAACAAATTTAGACCTATTGCATTGCTGACCTGATATCCAAGTCACAAGCAGCTTTATATTAAAAAATTATGGATCTGGTTACACTGTGTTCATATCTTTATGTTCATCCCGCTTCCTGTAATTGAGGGAGGAAAATGCAATATCATATGAAGTGCACAAGTCATGTAACCTAAGTACAGTTCAAGTTCTACGTTGAGAGGACCTTCTACGAGCGGCAGATTCTCATGAGACATTATGGTCTACTTTGATTTCATAAGGATTGAGAGGGATAAAGATGTATAGGAAGAGTAAAGAGAGAAGGAAGAGAGACCAGGCAGGCAAGACTGAGTGTGACTTACATGAGGGGGAGAATAAGTCGGTGTCGGGGGGAAGCTGAGCTGCCATGGGGTACGAGAGAGGGTTGTGGTGAGGGGTGGCAGCCAGCCCCATGCGTGGGTGGGAGGTGGGAGGGTGGGGCGGGGGATGTGTGGGGGGCAGGGGGGGCACCACGGGGGGGCGCACTGCCACGCCCTCCCTGCCGCCCGTCTTCTTTTTAAATTGAATAGAGCGTTTCTGAGGCTTATATTTGGAGCGCGATGCAGCCGGATCCTCTCTGTCAGTAGCCTCGGAATCATCTGAGGCTGATCCGCTCACCACTGAAACAATAACAACAGCGCGCCCTCAGTTACCTAACCACACCCACCCTGAATTGCACCGAATCTACCATGGACGTAGTGAAGGGTTATCAATCTACATTGCCTCTGTGTTGAATCCGGCCAATTTTCCTCCATGCTTTGATCCTACTGTACTACAAGAGGTTGCCTGTCCTAAGACTAATTTTTCACCTTCATACACTTCACTTCTCCATGGTCAGTTCTATGTTGAGGGAGATGATAACCTTCCCTGCCTACTACAACCACAAGATAAATCCCAATAACAGTGATTATAGTCCTTTCCCTTTTTCTAAGAACTTTTGACAAATTAATTTCCATATAGAGAATGAGATGGTCCCACAAGTAAAAAAAATTACTGACAAATTCTAAACCTAACTACAAGGACTTTTAACATGATTTCCAGTAAATGTGATTCAAGTTTGTGTTTCAATATTTTCTGTCACAAGGTTTAATGTTAGTGTACTGAAGGCTGACTTTGCCATATAACTATGTCATTCTCCTTATAAAAGTAACACTGGACATTCATTACTGGAATGTCAATATTACATAATTTCATATTAATGATTTTTCATCTCAACAATACCTACATGAGAAAAAATAATTATTAAACCATTAATAAACAATATACTGATTCACAGAGGGAAGGGGGACTTGGCATATTCATATCAGATAATTACAATATTTTCTTATCATGCAAATATGCTAACTGTCTTTGTCATGCACAGTCAGCAAGTATGAAGACCACATAGACCACTCTTCATGCAAACTTGACATTAATATCAAAACACCCGACTCCTTGGATCGTTCACAGAGAGGCGGCTTGGTCAGATACACATACACACCACAATGGGTTAGTGAAGGATGGTAGGAATACCTAGGGATGTTGTCCACCATGAACATCAAACACCAAAGTATTCAAGTGTGACTGGTCTCATATGTGCTCAGTGCTTATACCCAAGTAACTTCCATTGATGCAATTTTCTATAATTTCAACATTACATGAATACAAACTTCTTGTAAAATGGCCGACTTGTTACCCAACTTTATTTTCTTAGTTACCGTTCCCAACACAACAAATATTTATAATTAATTAAAGAAGGTTCATAGAAACAAAGTTATAATTTCACAGACTGGCCATGTATACCGAGGGTTTTGAAGATGTAGCAAGTATTAGGTAAATCTACAATTATATACATATTAACTAGCAAATATATACATTTCTGGGTTAAGTATAAGCAGTGAACATTGTCCAAACTTGTTTCCCAATAAATCCTTTCAAGCCTCATATAAAACTTTTTTGTTATATGCAAACAAAAAGGTCTGACTCACCTGACAACACTTGTTGAAGCCCAAGGATTCATTAGTGAGCAACAAAAATGGTATGTTCAAGACACAGACACTACAAGCAGGTAGAAAACAGCATGCAAGAAGTGCAGAAAGCGAGGAAACTTCTTTCATAGCTACACCACAACTGCATAAACATATGGCCTGTTTTTGAGCTAAATATTTACATGGTTGTTATTTTACATTAAATATGAGGTTCTAAATCTTTTAAACCATTCAAAGATGTACCTTAAATATACTCTACCATTACTTATCGTTCTCAAACACAACTGCTGTCATATCTAGCGCAAAAACTCAGCCGTAAGTGACAAATACCAGCAATAAGACCCTTAGACATAATGCTAATGAAAATAATAATAATTGTATTTCCATAAGCCAAGACTAAGAAGTATGTTCTAGGGGTCTAAATAGTTGCTGTTTTGCCACAAAAGGGAGGAGGAGGTAGAGTATAGTTGGACACAGTGCTACCTCTGGTACCTTTCTCATAGGGGTCGAGCAATAGCCTCTCATCCGAATAGCGAGTGCCAGGTCCTCCCTCGGCAACATAGAAGGAGGGTAGGGGGGGCACACGGGGGGCAGCTACGGGTATCGGGAGACGCTTCTTTTTCATCCTCTTGGGTACGGCTTTGCGGTTGACTTTGTAGGAATCGGTACTACGGCGCCGCTCAAGGGAGCTCCATTCAGAGTCTGAGTCCGAGTACGCTACAACAGTGACGTACTGAACGTTAGCGCTGATATGCCATTACTTTAAAATTAACTAATCACCTTACTTTATCACTACTAATTGTCAAGCATCAAGATACCATCATCAAGCCTGGTCTCAATACCTACTGAAGAAGCTTCCAAAATGGTGCCACAAGTGAGGAATCTTGGAAGCAGCATTGTCAGCTGTGGAGTACAGGTTTCAGGTACTCAGGTGCTCACTTATAACTTTCTATTATACTTTGTGATTTCCTATACACCCTCTATACTTGTCTCTTACCTCATACTCTTACTGAAGGAAGGTCTTTGACACATGTCAGATTATTTGAAAAATTATTATATACAGTATATATATATATATATATATATATATATATATATATATATATATATATATATATATATATATATATATATATATATATATATATATATATATATATATATATATATATATATACAGTATATCAAAAGGCTCAATTTTCTGTGAGTAAAAACAGAAGGAAAAAAATTGCAAATATAATTTGTATAGTATAAAAAAGTGGGATCTCCTTTCACCAGCCCTATATGGAAAACTCTGAACTTCATAATGTACAGTGCAGTACAGTGAAGTAATTTTGCAGGATTATATTACTTTCTGGTCAGTAAATAATAATTTCTTTTCATTAAGTAAACACTGTAACCTTTTATGGGCATTAAACCCATCATGTGGCTTAGCACATCCTCATCAGAGATTTTTATAAGGTTATACTAGTTTGCTCTTTTTTAAAGAAGTGTAAGCAATAACTTTCCGGGGAATGAACAGCTTATTCACCTTTCTTGAAGATTGAAAAACACTTAATACCGATGTTACACCATATTTGGTAATAAACAAATTTCAACATCAAAAATCATTTAAATAATTAAAAATGTTTAGATATGTCTTGGTTCCTAAAAATCAATGATTTCCCTATACTCTTAAAACTAAAATCTGAAAAAAATTAACCTGTTCTGCCAATGGATGTTTAAAATATTTAATGTTAAAATTCAATCACATCATCAGGCAAAAATGTCTAAGTGTTTTAAGCATCAATACTGGTCTAACAGTCTACAAGTCTGAGTCAGATTCTGCTGTCATACCCTGTTCTTTTTACTGAATAATACTGTACAAATATATGATGAAAAGACCAAAAACCTGGCTGTTTTTATCCTTAAATCCCCCAATGAGCAGTGTGTTATCATCATCCAGTTATATTTAACATTACAGTACTGTACATACACATTGCATAAATATACATTGTGCCTGAAAGTTACAATTATGCTGCACTGTATACAGTATTTGGAAATGTGCAACATACTTGTGTAATAACTGTAATTTATATTCTGCTGTTGACAAAATTATTCATGAGAACTTTACTGCAAAACAGAGAGCTGCACACACACACACCGAATATGGACATGCGCTGTACCTCTCTTCACAAATTGGCACTTTAGTGTAGGCATTACAAGAGCTCTGGATAATACAATGTGTACAGTATCAGCAACACAAAGAAACAGCACTTGTTCAACCATTTCCTTCTGTTTTTCTACCAAATGAAATCTCATGAGTGTAAACAGAATGGAACTTTACATTTGTGTCTGTAGGGAAAACACAGAGACTATAGTGTTTGATGTCAGTCACAACTGAAATATGAGAGTTATCCTTATTTGTGCTTGTACAAGATCACACATGAAGTCTCACACGAAAATACAGTTAATCCATTTATTTTTGGCTCATTTTGCAAGACAAATTTAATTTAAACTTTCATACCACTTTCATTCTTCATAAGTAATCATTTCATTTATCAACCACTGTAATATTTCTTACCCATATCTTTAACCTAAGCTGACCTAATCTTACCACAGCTAACCATCCCTTATAAAATACCCCCTCTAGTATATATAATCTAATAAAGTGCCATCATATGCAGCACAGCAGCATAGTACTTCATAGTTTCATCCTATGTCTTAATAATGCCTTTTAACTCCTTTACTACTGCATAACTTATTTCTACTATCCTCAATCTAACATTTTCTATACAGTACACTGAAAGCTTAAAATTTTACATCCATATATACCTCAGCTAAAATCTATACAGTTATAGACTTGAGGAGAAATAATTAAAGTTATATTTTTTACATTCATGTTCTTGTAATCACTGAGCAAGTTATTTTTCATGTCTGATACAGATCAGTGCTGAAAATACCGAGAACAGTGAAGAACATCAATCACTCCTGAAATTCCACAATCACTCATCAAATATGCAAGAGGTTCCTCACCCATGGGAAGATTTTTACCCACTAAACAACATTGTCTTCTTCCCTCTCCCACTACAAAGATGGAACCTAGAGCTTTGACTCACTGTAACTCATATTTTTTAATTATTGTAACCGAGACATTTGTCTCATCAAATACGAGGTGTAAAGGCACAGGTTTTGGCGGGACTTTTTACCAACATTAAATAACCTTGTGACAACGACCATGAGGCACATCCCCTTCACTACCCAGTTTACAGGATTTAGACGATCCAAAAATCTGAACATAACTCAGCCTGAAGTAAAGGACATGATGCTATACATTATGTTGAAACTCTGGAATACCTGTTAATGTGCTGTGATTCACCCAACAACAACAAAAATATAGAAAAAATAAATAAATAAATATCACATTGAACACTTCAGCAGACTGTCTTATGTAATTTATCTCTGCTTTTCAATATATTATACACAGTACAACATAAAATGAGGTGGCTATCTTGATTTTCTACTTATAGCCTTAAGAAAAAAATAAAAATAAAAATCTGCCCTCTTTTAGTCATTCTTAAGATCAGTCGAAGAGGAAATGAACTTGATCTTAATGGTCGAGGAAAATTACGATTACCCTGTATTTGCTTCCTTCCCATCACCATAGAGCTATGATAAGACTCCAGTTAATATTAATACCAAAATTTGAATTCCAAGTAAATGATTGGCCAATTTTTTTGAGCATCAGAGATCAGGGCCATAGCCAGGGGACTTTACCTAAGGCACATTTGGTATGTTACTTAATTTTCTGTCACTCGGCTCCAGAGGAAACACCATTATGAGGGAATACCGTCAAGTTCCACATAATGCCACACTCAACTTTCTAGAGGTTTTCTTAATATATACAGTACTATATATGTTTTTAACACTTTTGACAGAATAAATGAATTTGGTGGAGGGTCATTGGAGCTTGAAGAGGCCAGCCCCTTATAGCCTGAAGGGTCATGGCCAAAGTGACTAAGTGAGAGGGCCGCATCTAAAGCAACTGGCCCAACAGCTTACATGGGAGGGTCTATACTGGATCAGGATGGATGGAGACACATGAGAGGGAACACTGCCCATGCAATTATAAAATAATTCAATAATTTTACTGTAATTCAAGTGACAATAACATACACACAATAACCATGACAGTCAACAAAAGGTAATAATAATAATAATAATAGTAGTAGTAGTAGTAATAATAATAATAATAATAACTCGTAACAAAATGATGAACCCATTGAAAGTGAGGGGATTGGCCTGGGGTGAGCCACAGCCTGTATTGGTCACCCCTGGCTACTGCCCTGATGATGTAAAGCTGGCAACACCAAGTGGTTCATAACATTAACTAATAATGACTATTGATAACATTAACCAGAGTCTACTGTCTGCGACCAGCCATTACGAGTGAACAAGTCCTTCAGAGTGGATGTTTTTTGTCAACTGTACAATGAATTACAATTGTATAGGCTCAAATAGCTGATCGCAAAAGCACACTTCTAAAAACCAACCTTGACGTCCCTTCTCCCTCCGCTGCCGCCTCGCCTTTGCACTGGCAGCTTGGGGTATCTCTTGCACGCGGGAATATCCATAGTCCCCTGCCTCGAAGCTGCTGTACAGGCCAGGAACAGCATCTTTCACCTGCTGACGTACCATCTGTTAGTCTGTTATTCACAGGATGCTGATAATAATTGTAAGGTTGAAGAGAAGAAGTAATCCCTTGGAAGGAATTAAAATTGTACAGCAACATTTCTGTGTAGAGAAAATGGATAAAAGTCATCCTTTCCAGGATAATAAATTTAGGTCCTATGCTGAAAACTTAAGAAATGAAACATAAATGCATGAAAATTAAGAAATACAAGTATTCTCAAAAAATCTTCACAGAAGTGTTTACAAAAAGAAAAACAATAGGAAAAACTGTAGGTATGTAAAAAAAAAAGATGAGGGCAATTCAGAACCTACAGCTGTGTATTGTTGAGAAATGGTGAGGAGGAGGAGGAGATCAAAGACAAGGTGGAGAAAAAGAGAAAGGCAGCAGCTCAGTAACTCAATGGAAGCTTCTCAACATAAGCAACGTAGCAGTACAGTACTAACCCAAGAGCAAACACTGTAGAAACTCTGCATCATCAACTCAGCAATAGTCCCTTGCAGTAGTAACTCAGTAGAGTAGTTGGAACACAGAAGCACAAAATACTCAGTAGAATCAACTCACCAACAGGCAATACAGCAGGAAAAACATCTCAGTAGCAACAACTCTGCAGCAGCTATAACTCAATAGCAAAAACACCAGTTACAAAAAGTAGCAGCAACTCAGAAGCAAAACCTCAGCAGCTGCAACTAATCAGCAACCACTCAAAAGCAGGAAAAAATTCAGCAGCAGTAGTAGTAGTAACAGCAGTGGCTAAATAGTTGCAACCCAGGGAAGTAACAGCAGCAGCAGCTCAGAAGCAAAAGGTCAGGGTAGCAACAGCAGCAGCAACTCAGGACAACAGTTCAACTACAACAGCAGCAGCAGCAGTAGTAGTAACAGCAGCTCATCACCAGCAGTAACAGTTTACCAGATCCTCAAACAACAGCAGATCAATAACAGCAGCTCAGCAACAACAGCACAGCAGCAGCAACTCAGCAGCAACAGCAGTAGCTCAGCAACAACAGTTCACCTGCAGAAACAGCAGCTCCTCAACAGTACTTACGGTAAGTAACAACCACTCAGCAAGAGCAATATCAACAGCTCAGCAACAAGAGTTCAGCACCAGCAGATAAGCAGTAGCAGTTCAACAACAATATCTCAGTAGCAGCAGCAACTCCGTAATAATAAATTTTGCAGCCGTAACAGCTCAGCAACAGTTTGGTGGCAGTAACAGCTCAGGAGTTGGAACACAGCAACACCAGCACAGTAGTAGTAACATTAACAGCTGTGCAACATCAGCTCAACTGCAGCAGTATCAGCAACTTAGAAGCAGAAGCTCATGAGCAGCAGTTCAGCAGCAGCTCTACAACAAGAACTCGGAAACAGCAGCACGGTAAGAAAACTGAGAATAACAGCCTAACAACAACAGCTCAGTAAGAACAATTCAGCAGCTCAGCAACAGCAGCTCAGTATCAGCAACTCTGCAAGAAGAACTCTGAAGCAGCAGCTCAGTAGCAGAAGTCAACACGATCAACTCAAGAGTACACACTCAGCAGCAACACTAGCACCTCAGTAGAAGGAACTAACTGCTAAGCGGCAGCAGCCTCTAAGTAGAAGCAGCACTTCAGCAGAAGCAGTAATTCAATAACATCTCTAAACCATTAACTGAGCTTCAGCTGTGCAGCTGCAGCAGCTGGGGCAGGTAAGTATAGGAGGAAGATGATGATGTTGTGATGTGTGATATGGAAAAACATACGTATTAATGGTCCATAAGGCAGAATACTGTTGACCAGGTTTACAAAACTCGAGGCTTTATCAACAAGATGACTGGAAAAAATAAAAAAAATAAAATTAATACAACATAAAGACGACAAAATAAGGGGAGGTAAAGGATAAGACACAAAGGGATAAAACTAGGAGAAGGCACAGAGGGTGAGGGAGAGTGCGTAAGATAAAATGAGAGAGAGGAAGAAAAGAAGATATTAAGACAGATAAGCAAAGAGGAAAATGGGAGGGAGAGGGAGGGAAGATACTAGGTAAGAAAAGGGTAGGCTGGGCAGTGGGGAGCGGGACAATGAGCGTACTCACAGCGGCGTAATCTGGGCCAAGGTCCATGTTCTCTGGGGTGGCAAGGGGTGCGTGCACGGAACCCCCTTTGGTTAGTTTAGAGTGTAGGAGGCCCGCATCTTTGAGGTTTATTTTGCCAATTGCATCAGTCACGTTGCTATAGGCCTTAAGGTTTAGTTTGCCAGGTTGCTGAAAGAGGGAGAGGAATTGTTGGGTTAGTGACGAGCAACACTCAGGCACTAGAGAGCTCAGGCAGGAAAGGGGACCAGGGGGAGTCTCTGCAGCAGAGAAAAGCTATGAAACAGCCAGATAAAACAGGGTACAGATACAAGAAAATACCAACACAAACAAGAATACAGAGTGTGAGAAGGTGCTATAATGACGTAAAATGTACCAACAAACTGAAGACCCCCAGCCTTTGAGAGTATCCCCATGAGGAGAGGAAATCTACGCTTTGGACATGAATGATAAGGTTGGATGATCCAGGTTGGTGTTTGGCTACAGGTAGTGCACTGGGTAAGTGAACATAATGAGGAGGAATAACAAAGGTATACATAAGTTGTAATAAATAAATAAATAAATAAATAAATAAATAAATAAATAAAAAATAAATAAAGGTGGTGATACAATGTTGTAGATACAGTACTCACTCAGTTATCCGTGACTGAAGGGTGGTCCATGAACATGGATAACACAGTTTCATAGTTAACTCGGTATAACCCCAAAACGACTGGGTGATGCAGCCGTTACTGCCCATCAACCTCGACAGGCCTCCCACCTTGCACAACCACACAGTATTATTTTATTACAGTAAAGTACACTTGCAATGCCTCTTACTTGAAGTACCAGAACCCTGAACATACTGTTCAGATCACATTCTGAAATCTGGGACAGGATAATACTGTACAGTATATCTTTTAACAGAACAAAAATGCAGTCACAAATAGAAAAGTGTAATAATACACTATGAAGTTTGGAGAGACACTGACTGAGGCATGATGTGTGGGCTGGTGGAAGGGGAGCCATATCAAGGTTAACTCTGTCATGATCACAGATAAGAACACAATGCTTACAATACATTAATCATGGTTAACTTTATTCACAACCGAGTGATTCACACATAACTGAATGAGTAGAGTAGAGTACAGTATAGTACAGTCTTTGAATGAAAAAGGAGAAGGGTGACCATGAAGTGTGAGCCGAGCAAAAAATGTTCTCGGTGCGTCAAACAGTCACCATTAGTTTTCATAGAGACGGGTGAAGCAGCTAAACTGACAGAATACATAGTGAAGACAAATGAGAAAAAACAAACCTGTACGAATGGAATTATACTGTACACGTGGAAGGTGGAATAATGAACGGTGAAGGGAAGAATTACAGCATGATAGAATAATATACTGTATATAATGAAAACATGCTACACTATTTTCACTAGTTGTGGACAGCCTACTGAACAATAAGAATAAAATATTCTTAAAAGGTGAGTCTTGAAAAGTGACAGTATTCGGAAGTAGATAGGTGAAAAGGTGGGATGGGGGAGGGTGTGTGATGTGATAAGTGTGTGTGTGTGTGTGTGTGTGTGGAATGGTGTGACATGAAGGTGGTGTCTTGTTCAACCCAATGAAAGCAAAACAGAGATAAACAGGAAAAAAACAGACACTGAAAGTTAATATTTTGAAAAGTCAAAGCCTGTAGTGGTGTGGAGGAGAAATATTAAAAGGACAGAACAAGAATAAGAGAAAAGTATGGCAAAGAACACCGAGAGACTTTTGGGGGTCTGATACAAATAGGATAAAAGTGGCAGACAGGTTCAGAAACACAAAGATTGGGTTACAAGGGTAGTGGGAGACAGGGTGATAAAATATAAGACAAGAGCAATAGAGAGAAGAGGTATAAAGAAGAGATACTATACTGTACAGTACAACAAGAGGGCTAAGATGCAGAGTGAATACCTACAAGATAAACATTAAGTAGTACACTAAAGAGAGGCAAGTTGAAGTGAAGGAAGGAGGACGAAGAAATAGAGACAAGATGAGAGGACATAGAGTAGGTAGGACAAGAGGAAGCATTTGCAACGTAGGATAGGAAGAGGTATAACTGACACAACAGAAGGAAGAGGGAGAAGAATTGTCAAGTATGATCAGAAGAAGAATTACTAATGCAGGAAAGGAGGATTTACTGTAAAGGGTGTGGCTTAAGTCACTTTTTCCAGGACACTATACAGAATGGGATAACATTACATATACAATATTACTAATAAAAAATGGCATAAGGTCAAGTGTTTTATTTATTTTATTTATTTATTTTGATGCAGTGTTGACCCCTGTCCCCCTCTTTTTTCCCCCCATTCTGTACAATGTGTTCTCAGTAAGGTGACTTATGCTTCACCCTGTACTGTACTATTAAGATAACATAGGAGGAAGAAATAATCAGACCGAAGAAGAGGAATAATACTAAGGATGGGGGAGTGTGGGAAGACGTTTGAAGTATAGATACGAGGCACCGTCTCAGGACCCGGGGTATCTCCTCTCGCACTACCCGATGGCAACCCGCAAGATCTTCTCGGGTGTCTGGTGAAAAGCTGTACTTGTCTCGAGTTCTTGTGTGGTGTGTGTAAATATTCTTTCTTCTTCATGTGGGAAGCTTACCAACACTGCCTCCCTCCAACCTACCTATATTTTGGCTCCCTGAAGCATCTTAACAAAAGGTTGACTCGAGATAGATGTTTTCTTCAGCAAGAGAGTGTAAGAGTGACAGAACATATACTGTACAGCGGTGAAAATAAAATACAGTACAACAGTAGGAACATTACATCTGACAATACTTGATGTTGGAGGTGGCCAAGCCAATGGGGTGAACACCATCATTCTTAAAATTATGCTTGGCATGAATTTTGTATCGAGTTATATTCACAAACAATTTTTAATCCATGTGAAGGAAAATACTTATTGAACGATAATTAATCTGGTGGACAGTAATTAAAAAAAAATATCACCCCACCAATGTATGACTTGAAACATAAAATGGAAACACATTATACAGTACGATGAAAATAAGTAAGCATCGTAAGCATAAAATATTTCCATGGTCTCAATATGCTGACAGATCTTCAGGTAAATTTATCATGGGTGTTACAATGAGAAAGTTTTTTCATCCCATAAACATGTACAGCATTTGATACATCAGGAAGTAGGTATTTCATTATGTAATGTGTCTGATAACGACCTGAACAATTAAGTTACCAACAGAATGATATACAGACAGGGTAGAAAAATGAAATATTGTACAGGATCATGAATACTAGAAAAAAAAAGAAAAAGAAAAAAGAAGAAAAAGATAGACTGGTAGATAGTGAATGAGTAACCGTACTCATTGGAGAAAAATAAAAGGTAGGTAACACTGGAAGTATGGAGGAACATGTTTTAGAAAAATCATTAAGAAGAGTGTGAAGACATGATCATCCACAGTGAGGTAAGATGATATATATATAAAAAAAAAAAAAAAAATGAAAATTATATAATTTTATGAAATATGAAATAGAGAGTATATGAAAAAATAACTCAATGCTATAAAATAATCCCAAAGGAAATTAAGACAACGACGAAAAAGAGGAAACAAGGCAAAGGAAAATGTGAAGAGGTGATGGGAAGTTGTTATTTATTTAAATCAAGCAATACTAGCATGAGGTATTGGGACTATTTACAGGATATTTTAATTTTTTACATATAATACAGCATCAAAACCCTTTGATCATGCGTGACCAAAATACAGAAACCAAGAATGCCTGTGTGAGGGAGACCACTCAAGCATGAACCTGTACCAGAAAATTTAACTTTTTCTTGGAGTGGACCTATGCCTTCCCCACTCCAGTCTCACAAAAAGGCTTTCTTCTCTTGTACAAGTTCAACCTCACATATCACAAGGAGCAGACCTCTTGCATTATTTGTCCAGGTCCAGGAGAACACAGCACATACACAACCTACCTGAGGAAGCATGACTCAAACCAAGACAGAGCAGAGAGCGCATACCAGAATGTACTACCGTAGTTGTACAATACAGTACTGTATTGACAAGTTTCAGTTCAAAACATACACGCCCACAAAACACACACACACAACATAGACGATGACAACACCAAATGGCCACAGATGAAGGGCAAAAACCATTGCAGCTGCCTCACAATATAAAAAATTAATTTCTTTCCTCTATTAGATAAAACTGAATAGAGTACAGTACCAAAGTAACAAACATCTATATTCTCCAGACAACATCCACTTCACTGGATACCTTTCGACATAATGATGCCATAATTGTAGATAAATTAATATTCTTGAACAGGAACAGAGCTTAATAATGTGGTAATTGTAAAGAGGAGAATGGATCCTTAATCATAAAAACAGGGTAAATAAAGTTTAAGAACAAAAAGCCAATACTATAATGTAACTACAGTATATGTATAGTTTATTATCTTCATAACTTTAAAATTACTCTGAAATTTCATCTTTAGATCAAGGACAGCAATGTTGAGAAAAGGCCATTTCTTTGCAGTTTTATTAATTGGGTTACATGTCCAGAATAAATTAACTTCACCAAGCTGCATCTTATTGGGATGAGGATAACTGATGTAAATGTATCTCAAGTAAAGCACAACTCAAATTGGAATCATCTACAGTCCTCCTACCAGATATGATTGAAGAACTGTTAACCATGAGAGGACTCGGATCTTCTTGCAAATATAGTTTAGGGAAACTGGCGGTATAACTGTCATCATTAATAAGGGGAACTGAATGGATAAAAAATCCAAAGTGAGGAAACTGTTAATATAACTTTATTGAGATAACTGGTAGAATAATTGTATAATCTTCAGTAGCTGTGTAAAAAGCAGGTGTCCATGAAGACATAAATGAACATGATTGTCTATAAGAGGTACAATGTACAATTTTGATCCCTTTTATTGAGAAAACTGAAATAAAATTGGTATGATGAAAAACTAACTAATGTACAGTAATTTGTTGAAACAGAAATAGAAAGAGTGAACATATAATGGTGAAAAAAAAATGGTGGTAATGAAGATGATAGAGAAGTCAAGTTAAGGAACACAAGCAGCATTCAGCCTGCCATGCAAACTTGTAACCACAGTACTTTGAGGCCATACAAGCTATACATATAATCTCAAATTACTTTATTCTTACCACAATAAAATAAACACTCAATTCCTATTGTTTTCACTATGAGATTTTTCACATCCTGTGTTCTCCAATCTCCTTAGTTCAAACTATCCATTTCCAGTAGCTCAGCACTGTTCACAGGGTGTTCACCACCTAAATCTCATATACCATTGTCCAAGGAACTAACACGACCGAGTGATTATTTTTGATCAGCTTAGAAGCTTAAATAACTTAAGTACTGACAACTTAACTTAGCCCATACAGTGAATAATCATGATTCACTGTAGTCAATGTAGAGGTTAAGAATTTACTCAGTATATTTTGTTCACAAGTTGAGGATATGAGGTAGTGCATTTGGAGTGTTTAACCTTCCTACTTCAGCAATTTCACATTCCTTACTACAATTTTCATAACCATCTCTCCCCTGCCATTTCTTCCCATTTTAGGGGTTCCTGTTTGCCTTGATCAACTCTATATGAAAGTGAGAGAGGATGAAAGTAGATATTAAATAGGCTTTCAATATCCAATTTCAGCTTTGATATGTGAATAGAGAGTTGTTCGTAACCTAAGGTGGTACATTCACTTGGCATCTTAACAGTAATGAAAATGATATCTGACTCATTGATGCGTCAGTTGTAATAAAATATGAGAGCATATTTAGAGTAAGTTATGGGGCCAGCTTGTATGGTAGTGTGTCTGGATCTTTGTGTGTTTGTAAATGCATCTAATAAATCTATATTCCTCAAAAACCAATGTCATATCAACCATAAATCCCAGAACCTAAACAAGTATAAAAATTAAATATGGTTGGGAGATATATGAAGATATCTTGCAACCCACCGGACATTTTACATAGATTACAAGTCAGTTCAGAAGTTCAAAATTTGCGTGACACTGATTTTGGAGCTTATAAACACATTATAGATACCATCGTCAGAGATGCACACACATCCAGAAACAGTAACAGCGCCAACTTTGAACCCATGAACTGGGCACTTAAAAATAGAAGCATTTATTGTAAATCATTACTCAATCTAAGTACAGCATATGCATCTCTGATACCTTATTCTCTTGGACACTAAAGAAATGGCAACACAAAGAAGGTCTATAACACTTCTTTGTTCAGTCTCTCTCTCTTAAGTAGTTCAATTATGGGTGAGAAGAGCTTAAATTATCCCCGAATTTTACCACAGTTTAAAATAAGCGTATAGAAGATCTTGTTGACTCTGTCTCACACAGAGGCTAAACTCATGACCATGAAATCACAGCATTACAGCACAATAAATAAATTAATAAATAAATAATCATTCACATTAAGTCATAACCCGCCAAACATACAAACAATATCATGAATACTGTACATCTAAATAAAGAAAAGTCACCCTGACCAGGATATTAAGAAACAGCACAGAGCAAGGCTGCCAAGACGTCACTTGAGTAAAGCAATGCACTATACAATACTGTAGTTATAGGACAAATATTTATTAATTTTAAATGTACATCACGTTCTAGATCTTGTTTCATTGCTGAGCCGTTAAGATGATCTCTCTGTAAACTGACAAAAAAGTAAATAGACAGAAGCACACTACCAATGTATGTGACTCACTGCCATCCTTCTCAATGGTGAACAAGTTCAACGTTTGTGAATGTTTAAATACTTCTCCATAGTGAACATGTCCATGTTCAGTGTTTGTAGATGCCTAAATATTTGTCCAAGGAGAATTTGTTCAATGTTTGTGAATGTTTAACCCTTTGGATGTACTAATCAACTGCAATTGAACAAATCATAAATATTAATATACTTTTCTCCATGTACAGGTAAGAAAAAATGCAGCACTTGGCTGGAGTGCTCCTCATCACCCCCTCTCCCACAGGCAGATGACAGGTCCAGTAACTGTTGTAATGGTGAGGATCTCCCCATACACAATGGCTGATCACTGCCACCCACACTCATGCATTTATCTCCCTGTCCTCATTTTCACTTTGTTTTCACCATTACTTAAGATACCTTATGGATGTTATAATGTAAAGATATGTTTTGTATTATGTATCATGATACATAAATAAAGATACTGTATACAGTAAAGTACTGTACTGTAATTATAATAAAATTCCATGTTTCTAACACTCGCTTATGAGTTAGCAGTGTGTAGCTACATAGTGTACATTTAAATCCTTATATTACCTCTTAATATTTTTCTTTCATCATAACAAAAATATATTGAGTTATTGCACTGGATTTTTTTGTTTGTTTTCCCTTTACCCGAGATGAAAGGACATGGCAAAATATTATATTTTTATGAAATTTTACCTAAAGTCGAGTACTGTATTATTTTGGGGTTACTGTATATAAATTCGTTTGCTCCTAATGCCAGAGTTATGCTTTTCAAGAATTTCTGACAGCAAAATTTGATACAGCATTAGATAAATTTCCATTGCATAAAATGAGGAATCCATAAATGCTACAATTCAAATTTTTTCTTTATGCTTTTTCCCTGCTGTCAGATATTGTTTTTAAGAAATATGGAAACTTTATAGTTTTGCCTTGATAAAAAAAAAGTTACCATATTCATATTTTACTGGAAAACTGACACTCCTTAGAGATGTAGCTTTGAAACAAAATATACATCCAAAGGGTTAAATATTTCTCTATAATTACAGTAATGTGTTTAATGTTTGTGCATGTATAAATACTTGCCCATGGTAAATAACTTATAAGTTTGTATATGTTTAAATACTTCTCTGTGATGACCACGTTCAGTGTGTGTGTGTGCATGACTTCTCTTATAACAGTCTTCCTTCCTCTGGTAACACCAACAGACTTTTTGAGACATGTAATCCTAGAACAGGTGTTAAGGAAGGCATGCCTACTGACATCATGCAATGATAAGACTAAACACTGCATTAGCTACTCTATCTTGCAATGCGAGCAAGTCCGCTACTACCCTAGAGAACCAAGTAGAAGTCTGTTAGTGTAAACCAGGATGTTGTTAGTAGTCATGTCATGCACATCTCAGAGTACTGTACTAGCGGACACCTCACTCCCCAGTCCACGTGGCTCACACTGTACAACACCTTTACCATCCTCGACACTCTTGTCTATAATACCATCTATCCACAACTTCCTGTTTATAATCATTCCAAAGTTTTGCTTAAGTAAATACCTTGAAATAAGCTAATACTGTTCACAAATTGCCAAACAAGAGTCCTGGATATCTAATATTCAGCAAACTGGTGGGAGGGCAATAAAATTATGTGTATAAAGCCACTTGAAGAACCCAAGCTTCCATGGTAAGTGCAAAAGCCAATTTGTATATACAAGCTACATTCTGATTGGGCAAATGTGTGAGTGAGAGCAAGTGTGTGGCCCAATAGCAATGCAGCTGGGCATAAACAAAGAGGGTTAACTGTGCCATCAAGCTTGGGTTGGTGAGCCAGGTGACTGGGGGTTAGTGGCTGCCCGAGACATAAACACACCTTGGTCGTGACCTGATACACCGCATCGCTCAGCGTCTGCAACGTCTGTAAGTTAGGAATGGCCACGCATCAAATTTTCACCCCTTATCTGTTTTAATAACCATCCTGAAACTCACTAAAGCATATAACTAATCATATTATGGGGAAATTAGCCTCTCTAACTGAATTTACCCTCTTATCATTACTAAATAGTTTCAACACAGGGAGTTTTTACAAAGCATAAACATTATTTACAAAGTGCAAAAGTTGACATATTTCAACTAAACACTAACTGTAACAAACACAACTAATACTAATTGCTATGAATATTATACTGCTATGACGTTTTTGGCACGAGTATCACTTACCCCTGGACATCCTGAATGATCAGTACTTAAAATGGTGTTACAGTATACTTAAAACCACATTGTCAACAACCACAGTAAGTGACATTTTATCCAAGTCTTAACTGGATTTTAAAAAGTCCTCTTTTAAGTGGCATAAAATACCAGCTTTCAACTCATGAGATGGTGTTTGCACTGCCAACATACCTAACTCAGTAGATGTTTAAACAATAAGAGTAATGAACTGAGATGTCTGCTATGTTTAAGTGTATAACCGAGATGTTTAATATGTATAATTTGGGGCATAAAATGGTCCAAGGTTAAACAGTAATGAGATAGGTTTATCATGTTCACCAATCTCTGCTCCAACAAGTGTCAGTAAGACAGTCACCAGAGAATAGGTACATTTAATATTCAATAATTCCCTTTACTTTCCTGAGTGCCCTTCACTACTTGTACAGGAGTAAACATCCCACTCTACAATTCTCATGCAAGGAAAATCCTGTATTGTATCAAAACATTATCAATGAAAACAGTAAGACATACAAACTGAAGAAATAATTCTATAAATGCAAAAATGTAATCAATTAAATAGAAGAATGGGATTCATTTTAATTACTGAATATATATAATGTACTCTGCTCAAAGGATAGGGCCAAGATATTCCTCTCAGCTGTAACTGCCATATACTCTTCTTATAAGCTAGGGTTGCCAACAAATCAAAGAGCCCAGCAAGCCCTAGACTGTAGGCCACTCAGCAAGAATAAAATAGCAAGTAGGTAAAATCAAACTCATGCTTCCCATCTCCCTGCATAATCATTGTTACTTATGACAAGTACGCTTTGAGCATCAGATCCTTCTCACTAACTGCAGCAGCATGCACCCAAATGAACCAGTTAAACGTGATTCTTCCCAGGTATACAGTATGCTCTTCTACCATCCAACTTCAGAAATGCAAATCAGCGTAGAAATAATAAGTGTTGTTTCATAGGACTTCAAGGTCATAGAAAGTCAAAATCCTCAGTCAATATTACAAAAAAAAAATCATTACCACCACTACAACAAAATCCTTCATCATCACTACAACAAAAATCCTTCATCATCACTACAACAAAAATCCTTCATTACATTTCATCAACACAAGATCAACCTCAGCTCATCACCTGTCAACACCTCTCCAATGTTCATGCTATGTTGTGCTGCCTCCCTCACAGTAAACTTATTAAATTTGAAGTTATTATACATACTGATGGCACTGGACAATGCAGCAGGGACTAATGCTGTTCTGTTATAAATACAAAGTACCCATCATCATTTGTTCCTCCATATTTTTTTTTTAACCTCATGCATAAACACAAAAATAAATAAAATAAAATAAATTAATAAGTAAATATTAAACCAAGACAGTTTAAATAACATTACAATTGACATTCATAATTATTGTCAAGGCAAAATGTTGTTGTCACCACCATTCACTGATTGTTTCCTGGCGCTCACCTTCAGGGTCTGGCTCGCCTTGGGTCTCGGTTTGGTTGGTGGAGGAGGAAACTTAGCACGCCGGCCGGTTGTAAATGCCTGAGGAGTGTATCCCTCGCCCCAGTAATCTTCAAGTCGGCGGGAACACAGGCTCTCATCCTGCCAGCCTGGTTATGATGAAAGATGTTCTATTAATGCCAGATGATATAAAGTGTAACTGGACCTCTACATCAGTGAAAGTTACTGAGAGAAAATTCTTTAGATATACTGTACACAAGTATCACATAATTATGATTGTTTATCACAGATTCTACAAAATGTAATACTGTATATACATTAGTTATTCAGTGCATTAAAAAATCTGTAACATGAGTTCTTACAAAGATTGTGCTTAGTTGATACAGTATCATATTCAACATACAGCACAGAAATACAACACTACTCATGCAAATTATAAAGAATAAAATAAAAAGAAATAGAAGAGATGTAAATAATTGGACAATACATTAATGATACAGTACATTATCTGCACTATGACAAACAGAACATAACAGCATTTTAGATGACAATACCGACAGGATGACCTTATTTTACCATGTGTGCCACAACAACAGTGACTTGTTGACCTTTGTTAGCAAAGTGACAAAATAAGCCAGGCCACCTACATCACTGACTTCAAACTCCTAAGAACTTGCTAGTTATAAACATATGTACACTACAGAAATTCTAACACTCTAACCCCTTCCTTACTGTAAGGTTGAGCTACCAAATGTTTAGTGCTGTAGTATGTGTAATAACAACAGTACAGTAGGCGTTATACAGTATAGTGTTACGACAAGGTAAAAAAGGGGTCAGTCAGTAATATCTCTGCTAACATGCAATAAAAATAACATATAAACTAACTAAAGCATTCAAATATTAATATAAAATTGAGATTGACACAACGAGTAAATAATAAAAAAACGAAAATCTTCCCGTAGTCTTATTTAAGTGTGCTGCTGGGGTCAAGTAAACTATTAAATAATAGTAAACATGACAGTAGTTATTCATATTCTTACAATAAACAAAACAAACATAACACAACTGTCTCGATAAAGATTATCAAAGTATCGGCAGAAAGCTATTTTTTTTTACCTTGCACAGTACAATGAAAATACAAATGAAGATAAATATATGGTATTGTCTATGTAAACTAAAAAGTAACAATAACAAATCTGGTTTAAAATAAGTTCAAACTGAAAGAATTCTCAGTTGTCAAAGAGTGTACAGTAACGTAAATTCACTGTCACAACTGGAGCTTGGGGTAACATCTACCGTACAGTACTCACGAAAGTACTGTAAATCCTCATAACTATTCCTAACAATATCATGGACATAGGAAAAGGCACTAATGGGAAGAATCAGAATTACTAATGGGAAGAATCAGAATTAAATCAAAGTGGTGAAAAGGATGCAAGGAAGTAAATGCACAGAAAAACTGAAAATCCCTCAGTAGCTCCTTTTTAAAAATATCAAGAGGCAAAACTATTGAACAGTACCTTGGATATATATATATATATATATATATATATATATAGTTTTTTAATTCACTTCATGTCCTCTGGAACTGATGAGAAAATATTCAACCCTCTAGAATTAGCAGTTTCTGAGAATATGTTTTCAACATATTACAGACAGATGGAGGGAAGGTTGTAGCAATTATGGTCCCCCACAGTTTTGAAGATCACTATTGAAAAAGTTAAACAGGTACAGTAAAAGGAAGAATACAAAAATGAAGTAAGATAGGGAGGGAGGCAGTTATAGTGTAACTGTCCCTACTCTCCTTATGACTATCAGAGAGTATAGGGTACAGATACTGATAAAAGTATAAAAGAAAGTAGGAAAAGTTTTGAAAAATTAGTGGTAGTATTAATAGTAGTACTTATAGTACTGTCGTATATTTGTAATAACAGGAGAGTAAAGAGTGTGGTGCACAGAAGAAATTGTGATAAATTTAAATTGGAAATAAGGAAGGAGGTATGTATGACAACAAAGACTTACTGTAAATAGTTGCCAGAAGAGAACACAAACTTGTACAACAAGATACTGTATATAATTAAAGAGAGGGGAAGGGTGAAATAAAAGTGAGAGTACAGCTAAGATACTACTGCTAAGACCAACAAAGAGTAATACCATGGAACTAATAAATCTAGATTCAATGAACCTATTTATCAACAATTCAGTACAGTATGACATATTCAAACTTTATAATGAGTCCAGAGATACTCAAGGGCATCTGTAGTGAATGCAAAAAAAAGTCTGCAAGTTACTATATACACGAATAGATCAGAAAAAGTAACTACAGTACATAGAGTAATCTGAAGATGACACAGAACCAAGTCATCATAACTAAACATGAAAGATGAAACTATACCACAAAATTAAATAGTAACTTCCATGATGAGGGAGGAACAAGTCCATGCACAGCTACAACAAGCAAAGATTAATAGCATAAACTCTCTCGACAGTTTAACTCTACAAACACTAAACAGAAAATACTTTGAAGATACAGGAAACGTAAACAAACAATGGATGTACAGTATTCATCCAGGCACATATCACACCACAAGGGGTAATGTTAGGCACCATTAACCAGTACATTCACTGAGATGCAATGACACTAAGAGAAGAGAAGAGAGATTTTAGTTTAGTTTAACAAATTTATTGACAAAGCTTGTAGTACAGTTTGCCTATTCTGAGTAATTCAGTCAGGTCTTGACACTGAGGGTGGTATCACTTCTCACTGCCATGCAGGACAGAGGTTCATACACAAAGAAATAGATCTTATTTCTTCGTGAGAGAGAGAGAGAGAGAGAGAGAGAGAGAGAGCCATGCAGGACAGAGGTTCATACACAAAGAAATAGATCTTATTTCTTCGTGAGAGAGAGAGAGAGAGAGAGAGAGAGAGAGAGAGAGAGAGAGAGAGAGAGAGGAGAGGGAAAGAGAGAGAGAGAGAGAGAGAGAAAGGAGAGAGAGAGAAAGAGAGAGAGAGAAAGGAGAGAGAGAGAGAGAGAGAGAGAGAGAGAGAGAGAGAGAGAGAGGCAGGAAGAGAGAGAGAGAAAGAGAGAGAGAGAGAGAGAGAGAGAGAGAGAGAGAGAGAGGAGAGAGAGAGAGAGGAGAGAAAGAGAGAGAGAGAAAGAGAAGAGAGAAAGAGAGAGAGAGAGAAAGAGAGAAAAGAGAAAGAGAAAGAGAGAGAGAGAGAGGGAGAGAGAGAGAGAGAGAGAGAGAGAGAGAGAGAGAGAGAGAGAGAGAGAGAGAGAGAGAGAGAAAGGAGGCAGAAAAGAGAGAAAGAGAAAGAGAGAGAAAGAAAGTGGTGAGGAAAGAGAGAGAGAGAAAGAGAGAGAGAGAGAAAGAGAGTAGAGAAAGAGAGAGAGAAAGAGAGAGAGAGAGAGAGAGAGAGAGAGAGAGGAGAGAGAGAGAAAGAGAAAGAGAGAGAGAGAGAGAGAGAGAGAGAGAGAAAGAGAGAGAGAGAGAAAGAGAGAGAGAGAGAAAGAGAGAGAGAGAGAAAGAGAGAAAGAGAGAAAGAGAGAGAGAGAGACACTATGGTAATGTCTAAAAACACATTATCAAAACTCTAAACAATCTCCCATTAATGGTAACAAGATGCAGGGATGAGGGGCCTAACAGGTAAAGCGTCATTCAAAAAGAGGAATTTTTTTAAGATTTACTGCAGATAAAAAAGACAATGAATAAGGACTGTAGCAAGTTGTTGAAGTAAACACTGGGTTGGGTTGGGAAGCAGTTAACTAAGGTCTAATGGCTTGCACAAAATTTAAGTAAAGTGATGCCTGCCAAGGATGGGAGGCAGCAGAAATATGCAAATGATGGGGAACAAGAGAGAGAGAGAGAGAAAAAGAGAGAGAGAGAGCGAGACACCTAGATCGGGAGACAAAAAGTCACCTGAGTCGCGTGTAGTGAGGGAGTCGCGTGAACCGCTCAGGTCAGCTAGTGAACAGAGAAATAAGGTGAGGCCGGTAGCACACATGAAACTTCTTTTAAAAGTCCTAACTGATCACATGATATTCCTACACACAACAACATCAACAACTCTGATCACTAAACTACCTAACACAGTACTGACAACTTTTTACACTCTCTCTCTCTAAGCAGTATATACAGAACACCATTAAATATATATAACAGGCATTCACTAAATTAATCCTCTGTATGCCAAAGAAAGTATTCCAACCTCAATGTTACAACTTGTTCACCAAGCTTGAGAGAGAAGCCTAATTGTAACAAACAAGAATATCTGTTTAATTTTAATGATTTAATCCTATACAGTCTATCCATGGATAAATAAATTGAGTTGTTTCCTTCTGAATTTATAGTTTGTTTCAGTATTTAATTTACTAAGATAAATAGTAATATTGGACTAAATATCAGTTCAACACACAAAAAAATCAAATGTTTATACTTAGCAAATATATTAAAATAAAAGAAGTAATTTTACTCTGAATAATAATAAAGGGTAGAAACTCTGATAGCAGAAATATTTGTATGTACTAATGTCATGACTTCAGGATGTTAAATAAATTAAGAAACCTGCATCAACATTTTCTGGTGTCCAGTTAGCCAAAATGGAAGAGTCAATAACTTCAAGAGTGTCAGATTAATGGGAACTGAACATCTTGTCTTACTGTGAAAAACTCTGATTCTATCGTACACTCATACAGCATAGACACTACACTGACAAATGAACAGATAGATGGGGAAACTGATAGCTTAAGTTGAAGCTTTGAAAAACTGTTTGGAAAAAATAAATTATATGGAACTTTGTTAAAAAGCAGTATTAGATCTATAAAATATGTATCTTTAGATGCATCAGACTACCGGTAAGCCATGACTCAGACAATCCAACACTGGCTAACTAGTTACCAGACCTGAAACTGTCATGAACAAGTACAACAGCCAGAGATCACGAGGATAATAGTGACTCATGCATTCCATATATTAAAAATAAAAATTTTAAAATAAAATTTTAGTTTGGTTATACCAAGTGCTTTTACCAGGATTTTATTTACAATGCAATGTGCAGTTTTTATAAGTACGAATTATCTTTTTAAGTACAATCTTTGGCTGAGGATAAAATATCTACCTCTATTACCCTAAAGGTAAAGTTACTGATCTTACAGATTTAAAATAGGTCAGGTTTGAAAGCCATTACTTAACCCCTGAACCTCTTACATATATAAAAGTCAACTATACAACATTTCTATCACTTATAACTACTCTCATCCACCTTCTGTATGAGAACAATCATCACTATTGCCAACATCACCAAGTATCAGGGAATTCACATGTCATGACCTCTGAACAAGACTGTTATTTCTGTAATGGTTCTGAGGCTTGTGCAGTCAGTATTGGTTTTCAGATTCTACCTATTCTGAGTCTGGAAAGTCATCGGCTCTACCCATAAAGTTAAAACCGTTAAGATCACCATTAATCACGTAACAAATTCTAACAACACACTTGTTAACTGTGATAATTAAGTAACTCAATACTGTACCTGAATATAATATGAAGGCATTAATAAATTAAAGTCAATATTAAGTATGCAAGTGCAACTACCACACACACATCTTATTTCCACATCACTACATTCTTCACCATACACAACACAAAGTAAGTCATTTATTTTTAGCTATTAATTTTTATTTTTTTCACCATGAGAAACACACTTCCTAAATCTTTCAGTTGTCCAGAAACCTCCATACATTAATGTTTCTCCCTCACAAATATTTGCTTCTTCCCTTGTTTAGACAGTAACAAATTTAAGTCTCTGATGATACTCTTTTTATTCAAAGGGTACATCTTTGACCCCAACAAATAAATATGGTGCAATCCTGATTCTTTTGCCCTTATATTTTCACAAAAGTTAACATCCATTTCAAGAAATTCTGACCCCATAATCAGTGTTCATTTTCGCTGTCCCAGGGAAAAGTCATATGACAGTCTGATCAACATGAGTACTGGGGAACTTAATTTATCCTATACAAATATTTTTTATTATTATATTATTATTTAGGGGGGGGGGGGGCACAGCAACAGTGAAGAGGACCACAAGTCATTGCAAGGAACCTCCTTTTTATTTTTCTGTGAATCCATTATTTTTTCTATTTTTCTGGGGGTGGGAAGGGTTAAATAAGTTTACTTCTTTCTCACCACACAAGACATACATCAGGTTTGATCATACCTAGTTATGAAGTTAATGTACATTACTGTATATTGATCAATATTGTTGCCCAAATATTAAGAATGATTCCCTCAAAATTTTGAGATTAATATAAAGTCTCCTTCTATGTGCCAAGGATATATATTTATAACATAAGGAAGAACTCTAGTTATCAGTTAAGAAGCAAAAGGGGTAATAAGACACAATAAAACTGATCATACTTGAGTGAACGTACATAACAATGAAGGCACAGTCGGGTCATTGTTCTCAAATATACTATCTTATAAAATGCAAAATTTTTACCAAACTAAATACACTGAGGCTATGTGAAGCCACATTTTCTTAACAAGAATTTGGGGAATTTAAATATCTTTCCACATATGAACACCCTCAGTCAAGACTTGCATTTTTTTTTTTTTTATCATATTAGCTCTAATCAATCACCGGGTAAACTAAGAATTTATAAAAGAGCTACAACCACAATTTAACCCTTTTGATTATTTACAAGAGGATTTAATTACTTTTATACAAAATACCAATGATAAAGAGACAGATCTTCAGAGTACTGTATAAGACCAACAGACCTTCAATTCCTTTGTAATGACTGTCACTTTATTAATTCTACAGTACAGGTACAAGCATCTTAACCAAAGTTTATTTTTTCAGTTGATGTTAATTAAGAGTATCAAAAAATATCAAGGACTCTAAAAGGTGTAAACAGTCATGTCAGACATCAATTTTTATGCTACCTCACCAAAATAGTTGAACGTCTTTTAACAAATATGTAAATTCCCCTCAACTTCTGCTGACTGTAAGGGAAGTAATATGACCTGCTGTAATATAACCCTCATTAAGCAGGCACTGTATCACATAACTAGGTATGACTGAATAAATTAATAATGAATAAAACTAAAAAAATATAAAAAAATAACTACTGTACTCCATTTATGGTTTATGTGTACACAGAAAACTAAGTTAACAAAAAATTATTTACTAATACATCTGACGATGAAAACTAAACATAACTCACAACACTGGCAGGCACCCAAACAGGAAAATATGCATTCACACATAACCAAATATCTAAGTTCTATCCACAGGCCCATACTAAATCAGTCAACTATTTAAATATCACTATTATTAGGAGAAGCTGGACCAGAACCAACTTAAAACTTTAAACAGCTCGGCAATGAACTGTATTCAAAATATTTATAAAAAATAGTTATCAGACTAAATGAATAAATCCAAGCATGAATTGGCTCCACACTATGGCTAACATCTGGTGCACTGGTATTCCAATCTTGGGTGCTGATTGGCTGTGAGTCTACTTTAAAGAAAGAATGAACAAATTATCTCTGGTGAACGCACTATAGTGTACGTTACATGTGAGGTCATCGAGGGAGGTGCGAGATGTTGCAGAGTGCAGAGTGGGTGTGGGGAGTGTGGTGGCCTTCACCAAGCGGCGTGGGGGGCCCTCCACACACTCGCGGTCAGGGGGAGCCGGCTCAGGGGGGGTCGTGGGAGGGGGGTACACCTGAAGACCACCTGCGGGACCACCAACCACACACCGCCCACATTACTACCTCACCCATACACAGGATGCACAATTACCTTTCTCAAGGACCTTTGTTCACACCCAATGACATCTGCTGCCACTAAATGAGGGTTATATCAAAACTTGGCAGGAGCCACATAAAGGCAGCCAGCTGATTGACTTCTCAGTGGTAACAAAGGGCTCTTGAAAATTTTTGTGACATAGGTACTCGCAACCCTGGGGGGCGAGCACTCCCTTTGATATCACAAGAGGAGAGAGTTAATATCAGTTACGTTACCCGTGCAGCAGAGTACACGACATACAATCACTGGCGGGTTTCCTGGAAGAGGTTCGAGGGAGGCAGCGCCCCAGGTTAGCTAACACGACGCTACATACCCACCCTCAGGTCTGAGTGAGGCAGGTATACCCAAAGAGTCCTAGGTAGCTCTACACACAACATTAAGAGACAGCCTCATGTCAAAGTGAGGAGGGTTGACCCAGTGACAAGTAGCTGCTGGTTTGGTGGTGCTACCTCCACAAGGGGGATCCTACTGTCACGGCACTTGTCTCAGCCAGCCGGGGAAGGGACTCTGCCAGCTGAGTGAAGTAAGAGTGTGCTCGAATGTGAGTCCTCACTCCAGGCTCTGCTGCTGTCTACAGGAAGATGCCACACTCAACGACTCACTTTGATTTATCTAAGCTACATGTTATCGGTCCCTTCAGTCACATGCTTCTCAGTCTCAGACCCTAACACAAGGTCACATATTCTTTAATTTTTTTCTGTAAGTCATGACTTTTGACGTGTAATCTTTGTGATCCATAAAGCTAAAATAAATGCATTTCATTGTTAGGAATTAATTTAGATAAGCTTCCTAGAATACCAAAACTCCAACACGCACCACCACTGCCTCTACGTGCAGCAGAAGACCATATCTTTTGTTTATATTATGCTGAAACTTTTTCAGTGAAAAATAAAAACAAACAAATTGAAAATCAAATTAGTGCTGATACTTTGAGTACCTGACTGCCACATATCTGCAAGGGTTCACAGAGAAGCAAACCTTGTAGACAGTGTGACTTACATGTACCCAGCTGCCCACAAGTATCCAGTTACCCCTCAAAAGTAATTACCTACCCATAAAAAGAGTATAGTACAGTATTCTGTACCTGCATATACAGTTTACCTATGAAAGTAAAACTCCCTAAAACTATACTTTGCAATAGAAAGTGCACACCCTTTCTTTTTATTTATATATATATATATATATATATATATATATATATATATATATATATATATATATATATATATATATATATATATATATATATATATATATATATATATATATATATATATATATAGTATATATAAGCTCATATTAAACACACAATTATTATATTTCAATTGAAAATACATAGATACCTTTAATCCTATTAACCTAATACAGTTTATTTGAGCCTCATGGAAGCATCATATAAACATAACTATGATAACTAGACTCCTCTAGTTTATTTATTCAGGTATTAATTATCTGAAGCCTTTATCATGCAAACTCCATTTCAAGGGTCATTTCTGGGGCTCAAAGGTGACCTAATATAAAAGTTCATCTATGCCGGGGGAGGGGGATATACAGTACTGCATATACAATATGTCCCCAAATAAGGTGAATTTTGGTACATTATTTAGGGATCATCACAAAGGTTCACAGGTGACATTACCTGTACATTAGTGATTTCTGATCTGTAGCTACACAAATAGGCTCCAACACAGTTATGTTGTCACCATTAAACCCCTCGTGTCATCCCTTAACAAGTCACTACATCTTTTCAGTCCCCAAATTATGAACATACAGTACATGTCTTTATTTAAAAAAAAAATAATAATAATAAAAAAAATAAACTTAGGTTTCACTTAACAATCCCGTCATAACCTTTATTCAATTAAAGATGAATTAATTATATGGAATAGCAAGATATTTTTTTAAGTAAACCACAAAAAGTCAATTATTTTATTCATCTAAAAGTCTACTGACAAAAATATTTATCGTTTATTTTTTTATGCATAAAAGTCTATTCTACTATGATAGATGGTGATCAGGTACTGGAGAGCACTGATCCTTATTCTTAGTATTCAGTAGCTAGCAGGTTACCCCATTATCTCCATGACAGAATGCTAGTAGACTAGCATTCTATCCACCATTAGCATGCCCAACTGAAGTATATTCCTGTGCTGCTGAGTGTCGTATGAGAAGAGACTCTAGTCCTTCACTCTGGTCAGGAAACCTCTCTACCTCTCAACTATAGACTCACCATATTAAAAATAATTTGAACATACTGTATTTTGCTAACTTTGCACTTAAATAACCAACTTATTTTTTATATTAATGTATAAGACAGGAAAGGCCTAAAGGTCTATGACTGTTTTATACACAGTAACTTGGAATGATAATCAGAGCAAAATCTTATTTACTCTAGTCAAACACGATCTGACTTAATTAGTTTACAAATAAACCCGATGCATTAATCTGACCCTCTTCAATTAATAAATTAAGCATTTAACCTTTATTCAATCAAGGTTTAAAATACTGGATTCATATGAACACAGACTTTCATAACCTATGCTCAATGTAACTTTGATCTTAATTACAGTACAGTACATAATTTTTTTTCTCAATATCTTATCATCAAAGAGACAATTATTAAAATGCTCATTGTTTAACCACCAAAACACTATTTGCTTCTGGGCAATATGACGTATACTAAACTCCACCAATCACAAAGGAAAAACATGTAAGACAGTTATGTGTTACAAGATATGAAGTAACAGCACACACAACTTAGGCTTGCAAATGGTACTCCTTTTTGGCATGAAAATGCAAGTAAGCCTTTTTCTTTTAGGTGAGAAATGTTAATTTTCAGGAATTCCTCACAGTTTAGGCAATAAAAATTAGGAGCACCTGTGGCATATCTGTGATCTATACTTTTTTCTACCTCAAAATATCAAGTTACCAACAAATATATGGGTGTCACAGAAATATACTTGAAGATTATCAGTCAGCAACTAATATATTACATACTCTGATCACACTAGGAAAAATCTACGAAATTAATATCATGTACAGTCACTGTTTGTGACAGCAAAAATTTACGTTTGGTTTGGAAGTGGGGAAGTACTATCTACATGTAAACAAGGATTGCTCCTTTTGTGTACAAAAACAATATCCAAATTTAAACATGCAAACAGATAGGTACCATCATGCAGCATATACAGAAGCAGCATTAAAAGTGCATCTGCTACAGACCATTACGCAATAAAGCTACCAATTCACGTACACCACATGAATACAGTACAACACGCTACACCTCACTCATCAGGGGACGACTGGATGGGTAGACTCATACCATGCCTCTGTGGCTTTGATATTTTCTATTTTAATTCTCAATTAAAACCTAAACTTATTAAAAAAGAAAGCTAGAGGGTTTTTCTTCTTTAATAAAATATTTATAAACCTGAAAGACGAGTAATTCCAGTAAAATCTGCTGGAAAATATCACCTCTCGCTCTCAAAACCTGGTGTTTTATAGTAATTCTATTTGAGTGACGGGAGTATAATACAGGAAAGATATTATAATGCAGGAATGAGTAATTATTGTAGATATAATATGGGTCAGAATGGCAAATAAGACAGGGTAAGTAACTACTAGAAAATGGTATAAGAACATGTGATCCTCGTGGTGGATGATGGTATAATATGGTAGAGGAGACCACAATGAACCATATGGTTGACAATGATACAATATATACAGAGAGTCTGAGAATGGTACAATCCAGTTTAATGTGTGTGTAAGAGGTGACTTTGCTAAAGAATACTGAGATGTGGGACTGACTGGTAAATGTGGTGATCCTACTCTGACATGAGTAAAATCTAAAATTATCAACCCCTCAATGAGAAGAACATCTCGGACTGAATCTTCTATACCTTTAGATACATGCGGTGACAAGTTTTATTTTCCAAGTTTTAAGGAAGTTCTACAATTGAATATGGAGAAAGAACAAACAAAATTAGGATGGTTTATTAACGGCTAGTCCGACTTCCCGAGTAACACATGCACCCGGGCTCTCGTCTATCCCCGTACACCACTACCTTAATTATCTGGGACCCAGATATCCACATTCTGGTATGGCGGAGATATGTTTTCTACAATGCTTCTTCCATGGTTTATACAGATGTTATAAACAATGAAAAAACATAAATACATAAGTTATAACTTGCTGGGACAAGTGACACTGTATTTGAGTTCATCCTGGATGATGGAGGTATTGGTGTAATATACAGTAGCAAGCTAGAGTTTACAGTGACAAGCCAAAATAATAAAAGTGTGCCAGAGTGTAATAGAGCAAAAGAGGATATTCACCCCTGTCTGCGCGCTCTCGTATCACGAGGTAGTCTCGGTCAGAGGCCCCATGGTCAAGCGTCAAACTCTCTGCCTTAAAGAACTGGTGTCTGGGGGCTGGTTGGGGTTTGTTCATGTCATGGGGCAGGGTGCGTGGGGCAAAAGAGTATGGAGGGGGTCGGTCACGCTGGGAGGGGGAGGAAGCCCCATCCCGTTGGTACGATACCCCAGTCACACCATCAAAGGACGGGTCACGTGTGACAAAACTATAGGGTGGTGGAGAAGTTGAAGGAGGTGGAGGAGGGTATGGAGGAAGGGGGGGATATGTGGGTTCCAAGTCCGAGGGCTGGGTGGAAACCTTAGAGCGGGAAGACACAGTCGTGGGCAGAGATTCTGTGCTTGGATATGATTGTCGGAATAATT